CCCCCAAAACCCCAAAACCCCAAAACCCCATATTTTATTAAAAATTTTGGAAATACTATAATAAATATCAGATGTTTCCACCATTAAATGCAAAGAAGGGCTCTAAGGCTTCTTTGGAGCTTCAAGTTTCTCCACGGATTCCTAGTAAGTGCAGCATATCTAATGGAATAATGACTTTCTAGCTCATTTTTATAATAATGGCAATTTTTAGGCAACATCAAGGACAGAAATGAAGAAAATAGTAATGAAGAGGGCTATCAAATGCCAAGGAGCCATAGATCAATGTATAAATCAATGAAAGCCAACCTCTCTGAAATTGAAAGTCAGTGGGAAAGGACCAGTCTTGGCACAGCAGCTAAGAACAGTATTAAGACTGCTAGGCAAAGCGTTGATGATATTCTGAGAGGAGCCAAAAATAATCGGAGACAGCTCATTAACTTGAAGTCGATGGTAAGTCTTGGATCTAATTTAATGCTGATATTTTATTACCTTGTTCTTTTTGATTTATAAAAATTAAGGTGCCTACTACTGATCATGAATCAGAGGAATATGACACCGACATTGGAATGTCTCAGAAAGCAAAGTCAACAGTGTCACCTTATGACAGATTAAAGGTCAGCTTAAAGAGAAAATAAGTATATGTTGGTTAAGAAAATGCCTCAAACTTTGAAGAAACCTAAGAAGGCCTTCCGTGTAAAGCCTAAGCAGACTACCGAGGAAGAACACAAGGCTATTGTTGAGGTGGGCTTTTCCAATATCCCTAAACTCAAATTAAACAATCCATTTATTGAGCGACAGGAGAAGCTAGCCAGTGAGAATAAGAATAGCCAGTTTGTTGCAAAAGATCTTATTTATTTCAAAGATATAAGGCAGAAGGAGAAGAATGCTGCTTCTATGGAGAGGAGGCCTATTCATCCTCAATTTTCATCAACTTTCAACGTAACTTTACCCTTTAAAGATACTCTACTGGATCTTACTCCTGAAATGCCTCCTAATCAAGGAATTTCGACTATTTATAATGGGACTCCGAGAGAGGCTCGACTGCTAGAGAAGAGTCAGGAAGGTCACAACTTTAAAAATAATAGCCCTAAGAAGTTTATGTTCAACCCTGAGAAGGCTAGAGTAGCTGTAAACGATACCAGGGAGAATTCCAGTTCTAAAGAGGTTAAAAAGAAAGTGAAATAAGGAGAAGCACAAGAAAGTATTTGAAAAGAAGGATAAAATTATTATAACCTCCCGGGATAGAGGTAAGCTTCACATGCCATCCTCATGCTGACTTGGATCTATAGCACTTGTGTTTGCAAAAGGGATTAAAAAGCCGAAATCAATGAGGGATATGCTTCCCAAAAGGTATGTCAACTTCTTTACACTTCCTAAGATTTGTAGCTAATTCATGCAAACTAAATTTGGCTTTGTAGGTACCCCAACGGGAAGGTGAAAATCATGGATGCTGATCTGAATACTATCCAGGATGAAGGGGAGCTAGAAGAGGCCAGCTCCATAAAGTCTGATTATCGATGTGTAATAGACCCAAACAAGATGAAATTAGTCGAGCAGACTATAAGAATGTTGTACTAAGCCATGGCTCAGATTCAATTTATGCCATTTAGTGTGGGGTTTTGGGGTTTTGGGGTTTTGGGGTTTTGGGGTTTTGGGGTTTTGGGG